ATAGTCATATCCATGGTTTTTGCTCAGTGTACATGACCTGCATGGACGGTGGCGTACACTTTCTAGGAAAATGGCTTCCTCTTTTGACCAAATCGGATTATTCGGACCAGCTGGCTATGAATCGGATGATTCAGAGCCTTTAGCCCCGTGCTTGCTTCTAGGTGTTCCCTGTTCTTGATTAACAGAGCGCCGTCCACGGCCAGAACTATGGCTACACTTTATCAGAGGATACGTCTGGCATGTTAGGCGAAGTTACGCTCCTCCCGCCAGCTTCGCAACAAGGCTGATACCGTCCGTGCGGCATGCTAGAGTTCTGTTCTCAGGACCGGTTCAAATTGCAGGTGGTCTCGTTTATTCGAGGCGTTCGCCCTCTGTCGGGCATTGCCGTAATGTACGATGGATGCATTGTGAATTGGTGTGAGGACGCTGGATTGGAAAAGCTACCACTTGTTCACGTGATAGCATAATGTGGGAGTGGTACACAGGGTCTTGGTAACGGCTATAACAACTTTAAACAGATATGCACAAATGTATTTACATTTCGACCGCAGCGCATGCCTGGCACACCCAACCCAGAGACAAACGTGCGGTTTCCTTTAATTTAATTGGCAATTCATGGACAGCGGTTTCTGGACGACAGAAGCCAGGCAGCAAAGTCGTATTGCAACTAGGCCCATTTAACATGAGCTGTGGACAATGGGTGGACTAGATTGCATGATTCGCTGCGGCAAACACCAGGGGCCGCACAATTAAATGCACGCTTACTTTGTACAACTATTACTACTCACCTACTACTACTACTACTACTACTATACTACTATTACTACTACTACTACTACTTCGTACGGTCGAACCAAATGCTTGCTGTAAGGCGTCCCAGGACCTTCTTCGACAACTAGCCACGCTGGGCGACTCCTGCCCCCCAAACCTGAGGCAAAATCTGTTGTTTCAGGTTTTGGTAGTGGGTCAGGACCACGGCGAACCAGTACCAGAACATGCCGCACAGCAACAAAAGCACCACTGCTGTGGCCATCATAGCGCCGAAGCCGTTGTACATGAAGACTATCATCTGGAGCACTCCCTCAAGGGTGACCAGAGCGAAGTTGATTCCAGCCCAGATCAGCCAGGATAGAATCATGCAGGGTTTATCTCGGTTTACCCCGTGGATCAGCGAGCTGTCGAAGAACAGCGAAACCACACTCAGCGCCGCACCGATGCCAAGCCCTATCTTCAGCAGCACCTCTGCCGAGTATTTGTCCGCTTGAGTCACGTCACTCCGGTCCCCGACGGTGACGAACGTTGCCAGAAGGATGGCGAAGCCGATCAATCGCAGGACATCCAGCACGACCAAGACGATGCCGATGGCGCATGACCCACTGCGGAGGTCCATGCAGCAGCAGCAGGACGTCAGCCGGGACATGGTGGCTTGCGGATCGTCCAGTGGGCGAAGCAGCTGGTGGGTGGTGCGACCCGGCGATGTCTCCGACGCGGCTTTCACACTGGCAGTGACGCCTGCTCCGCTGCGCTGCTGACCCGCCCGGCAATATGGGCACAGCGATATGACATCACGCCTCTTCATCGGTTCTGGGGAAGGGATTTATGAGCAGATGGGCAAACATTGCACACCGCGATAAGAACCGTATGGGAGGGGCGGGGGGGGGGGAGCATCGTGCTTTTGACGTGCATCAGAAGTGGAAATACGTTGGAAACGAGAGATAATCGCGGTTCCTCGTGCGGTCATATTTCAGCTCAGTCTGTGATGATGACGCATATCATTGCTCAGGCGTATTTGTTTTCCTGCAGATACTCGGGTATTGGCCAACCCACGGAACAAGATGAGGTTGGCTGACCAACGAGATGCGGGGCCATCGCCAACAAGCCGATGCAAGACATTTACCATCCGCCATACCAAGATGGTGTTCGAAACATCCGGTCGGAGACTTTTCCTGACCTGAGGCGAGCAAACTCTGAAGGCAACAGTCGTGCAACGACGTATCTGCCAGGGAATTGACGCATGCCTTCATGCTCATGAACAGCCGATTTTGACCGAACTGATAAGAGGTTCCTCGAATGCAGCCCAGACCCGCACCAAGGAGTGAGCAGAAGTCACCCGAGTGTCCGCACTGAGGGGGTCCAGAATTCCATTCCAGTCATCATCGTTCAACCTAAAATAAGGACAATCAAATAACGTCAAGTATCAATTTTGTTTCCAACAGGCATGCTTTATTTTGGACACTTTCTGTTTTCACTTTTCACACTGTATTTTTTTTTCTTTGTTTCAGCGTCAGTGGAGAGCAGCCAGTCTATGCTGCAATTGCGAAACTTTTCTTTACGAAACTAGCAATTACAGAAATTAGTAACAGCCGTGCAAAGAAGGAACTGCCAGTGGAAATGACGCTCGCCTTCATGCTCATGAATAGCCGATTCTGACTGATAACAGTCAATGGATTCAGCGATTTCCATTTCTCCTGAGGCTTTGCACAATCTACAAATAGCTTTGGTGTTATTATTGTCTTTACATGTCCCAAAAACTTGACAGAACCGGCGTACTTTTTCCGTGGTTATCATCAAGTTTCCTTTCAGGCCCGAGCAAAACTAACCAAGCCATCTATGCTAGACCCAACGCAAGATATGTCAGCATACCCAACGGACTAATCTGAAGCCGGATTTTGCGTGTCAAGCTCACCATTAGTTCTGGCTTGGATTGCAACACGATGATGACAAACATCCTCCGGCCCGCATTAAGGATAAGCGGGAGTCGAGCAAGGGATGTCGCAATCTGCAACCTGTGCCCCATGCCCTAATGGTGGCGCTATCAGATACGCAGCCAGAGTCTCAGTCAGGATGGGAGGGGGGCATAGCTTACAAAGGCCTTTTGTTGGTGCCTGCCTCCCCCCTCTCCCTTAAGAATATTATTACCGGATATGGCCCACTTTATCGCTTAGTTTTGAGGGGACGCAGTAATGCTCATTATGTTTTAATATTTCCTTTTGCACTGAAACAGGAGCCAGAAGATGCCGGAAGATGCGATTATGTTTGCACATTTAGCTAATAAAGTGAATGGACCAGATGCTAAATGCCCGTATGGAATAAGCCACCGGTGCTTTTCAGTGACGCTATGTTTTGTCTTGACACCCAGGGGCTCTATGATGCCACTCAGGGGCTCTGCTGGCATTTGTCTGGATTATGCAGGAATAATGGGCACCCCGTGAACGAGCATTATAGACCGAAAAGTGGTCATCATTTAACATTGACATGGCCAACCCACGCTCCTCTGGGAATGTCCAACCTTTGCTCACAATTAAGTAGTGAAAAAATGCATGTGTAGTTTGACCATACTCGCTCGCAAGTTTTAGAAGCAAACACCCTCTGAGCGTTGCAGTCTCTTCAGGCCGCGCGGCGTCGGCCCCGCAGCTTACACTGCGGAGCAGTCGCCAAGCGGCGAAAACGATAACGCGTCTGAAGGAAGTACCTTTCCACGCTGTAGAACACCTCGTAACTGCAAATTTGGTCATAGGGCAACCTTATAAATGATGCGGCTGAATTCCACGGTGAAGTGAAAGCTTTCAATTTGAAATATATTCTGAAGCTTTTTTCACAACGATCGTTCTCGCACGTCCGGCTACGGCCATCCAGTGCTACGGCCATCCAGCTGCAGTGCTCGGTTTGGTAGGAACTGCGATTCCGGCAATCGGTATTTTTGCCCTCGAGGCTGTGAGCGCGCAGTTTCATACCCTTTCATCTCATTTGCTTCACAGGTAGGGTAAAAGAGGATGGACGTTTTCAAGTGGGCATGGTGTTGTCTTTTTCATTTTTTATCTCATTTTGATCCATCGTGTTGAACAAAAGGACCCTGTTGTTAGAAAGCTAAAGGGCACATGATCTTTCTCGTTCAGAGGCAGAAGGGTCATTCCGTTTCAGCGCGGAGTGCCCGCTGGTTGTCATACCGGCTCCCATTCATGCACGGGGAGCGGGTTCCCCGAACTGATCCGGGGGGTCCTTATTTGGATAAATCATACATTGGTCCGCTTCCTAGCACGGGGAGCTCTCTGACCCGAGCAGCCCTGACCCTGATCTACGCAGAGGCCCTCATTCACGCAACAGCATTCCTTTTCGGTCGAACTCTGGCCAGCCTTTCGGGACCTTCGAGCTCTTCAATCTGGCCTTTTATCGTCGGTTCTGAGGGCCGAAGGGGCCTGGGACTAACGCTTGACCTATGCCCACGAGCTCCTGGAGGTGCACTATTCTTCATGTGTAGGAGGCCGTGCCGGCGCAGCATCAGGAGGTCTTTGACGAATGCAGGGATCCGGTCTGGTCACAGTCGAACGCTTCGCCGCAAGCCTTCGGTCCGCTCAGGCGCCTCCGTACCGGAAGGTACGGAGTACGGATCTACGGTACGGGTCTTTGTGCAGGACCCGAGACAGGTCTGTGGGACCGGTCGGGGAGAGGGGCGTGACGGACGTCGGTAGACGGTTCAACGGGCGACTGCGCTGGGGCAACTACCGGTATCTTCCCGACCTACGTCCGCTCGTGACGGATCGTAGAGTGGCGGCAGCGGTCGAAAAGCAGCGGCGGGGCTGCCTCGCCGCTGGCGGCCACGGCGGCGACGACGGCAGACGCGCCGGTGACGGCCGAAGGAGGACACGAGGACACTAAATGCACGGTGCGTATGAGTCATGTGGCACACTACTACGTCCGCCAAAATTGCGTTACATAGCCCGAGTCGTCTGTCGGCTGAAATCTCGGTCGCGTGTCAGTGCTTGCCTCGGCCCAGTGGCCAACTGGTTTTCAGTGACGTCATGTTGCGGATCACATGGAGTAAAGGCATTGCTCGATGACTTTTCGTAGTATATACGGCCTTGCAGCAGGTAAATTTCAGTCCGCCGCGTCAGGGCGCCGTGCCGCGTATTGTTCGCGGTTGGCATATGTGTGGCTTTTTATTGTTTGGGTGCACCAGGGAACCTTATGCCAAAGTTGTGAGTTATCCCAATGATTTTGAAAAACAAAATGTTGTACGGGTATTATGTGTGCATGTCATATTTCAATGTGGAAAATAAATGGGCTTGCAGAGAAAATGGGTGGGCGAATATTTTCGGGTGGCCGTTTTAACTAATGTGACCTATACGCAGACTCACATATGCTGAAAAAATATACTTAAATATTTGAGATACCTCAAAAGTGAAAGAACCAGGAGTACTTCTAAGAAGTTCTCTGCCGAAGGTGATCAGCCAAAAGCTCTTTCTTAAAATACAGCAAGAAGTGGGAGGTCATGTCCCTGTTACCCCCCCCCCCCCCATTCCCATGTGTATCAATGACTAAACTACAGCAAGAAGAGAGGGGCCATGCCCCTGTGACCCCCTTGCTCCCATGTGTATCATTGACTGATTTTTCATATGATGTTGATGTGTGGCTTGTTCCAGGTGCACCAAAGTGTGATAACTTCAGGGGTATGTTCTCTTAGCATGCAGTTGTAACTCAAGCTGCCAATTGTGATTATTATCATGGACATTGAGTTAACTGTTGTCTATCCTGCAGGTGTGGCAATCTCCAGCTGCACAGAAATTCAACAATGAATCAACCTTTTGCATTATGGTGTTGCTTGCTGTGCTGGTTTGCATAAGCAGCATTATGAACCAAGAAAATGGCATTGCTTTTGGATCACCTTTGGTAAGCTGGTGATTTTGCATTCAGTTGTCATTACAGTAGGTAAATGTCAGTCTCAGTGAACTAGAGGAAATGAAGAAATAAGGAGTGCAGGTGCTGTATTGTTGGGGTTGTGCTGGGAGGGTATGGATGGCGTCCATAGCTTTTCATGTGAAGGCTGATTATTGAATCAGTGGTGATCTGTGCAACCTATGTAATGCTTACAGACTTGTTGATGGTCCTTTTGCTATGTATCTTGGACATGGTCAGTGTCATTGCAGACTATGCAAGGTTTGAGACATCTCAGTGTTAGTATCAAGGCCATTGCTTAAAGCACTGCTTGTTCTGCCTGATGTCACCCATCACCTGGAGTCAGGATAGCCTAAGCTGGTGCACTTCTCCACCATACTGACAATAATGATTACCCTAATTTTATGTTTCTGATTAATGTCACACTGTTAGCAATGAATCACAAATTTTTCATTGTTTTTCATTCTGGCCAGGAGATGCTGCAGTATGCCTGACTGATCTGGTACCTGTTACATTCCACTGCTGCTGCACTGCATTGTCTTAACTTATGCTCACCACCATGTTGTCAACAGCTGTCTGAGCTTCATGGTGAGCTGCACAAGTGCGAAGAGGTGGGTCGGCTCCGGTGGCTCATGCGCCCCTGGCGGGTTGACCATGAACAACAGATGCGGCCTGGCGGCAGGCGGCACCACAGCAGGACTGGCCGCACCAGGTGGGGGTAGGCCCTGGTGATAGTTTCATCCGGGAATGGGGGTGGAGATGGGGGTGACAAGCTGACTGGGCAACATCCTGTCTATATGGGCAGTCATTGTTGATGCTTAGCAAAGGAGAGAGGTAGAGGCCATGTGGAGTTAGCAGGCCAGGTGGAATTGGTGGAATTGAACAGTACATTGTGGCTGGGATACAGATAAAGAACAAATGCACATTATGAATAAGTAAATTATGCTCCTCCCTCATCAGGCAAGTACTTGCTCCTGTTTTAGATCTGTTTTGCATGTAATGTTATGTTGCTTTTATATGGATGAACCTGCAAACACAGGGGGCATTGGGTAAGTGATCCTTCATTTTCGGGTGTTGAGTCACAAACTGTGGAAAACTGACTGGAGGGACCCAGTTCACTTCGACCAGAAATTGCACAAGTTTGGGCTTTAACCATATGAGTTTGACGTGTGACATCCTACACGATGTAAGCTCGTCCCTCACAAATTCGCCAAGCTTGCGCGGCGCGTGCCGCAACTGTGCACCCTCTCGGCTGTGCGCGCTTTGATCCGCCAACCCGCCGCCATTGTCAACTGACATGGTGGGGTACGACCGCGAAGTGCAAGGTACGCACATCCGGATTTACGAGTCCAGAAATCAAACAAAAGCACTATGAGATGCACGGCAAACAGGCTATGTATATTTGGCGTCTTATGTGTCTGCTAAAGGTATGGTCATATCCCGCCTTTTAGTTGAAGGGTGCGTCTGAGCGCTGTGATCATTAACGTCGAAAGTCCCAACATCGATGCAGCGTTGTAAACTCAGGTCCTTCCCTCCAACACTGCAGTTTGGTTGTCCAATGCGCGGCCGGTGCTCCGGGCCACCTGGCCGGCTTTTGTCGTCTCCGACCGGTCCGAGTGGCGCGCACTTCCGTCTGGTCTGGTTACGGCGGTGGCGCGTGAGCCGTGCCGCTGGTGTCGCGTCCCGACACGCTCTCGCCGCCGCGGATCGCCCCTAGCCGGCGACAGTGGCGATGCAGGAGTGAGGTGGACCGCCGCCCACCCCGCCCCATCCCCCTCCCCTCTCCCTGTCGGTCCGGGCGTCGCCACCGCAGGCGCAGGCACGTCCAACCGGATGAGAAGTGGTGGATTTTGGCACTTGGAGTGCTGGCATGCATGCATTTGGTGGCTGCATCGCAGATACGTTTGGTAATTTGTCGCATGTCTCTTAGTCTGCTTTAAAATTAAAGTCACTCAAAGTCACTCTTTGCCCGACATGTGCGGCCCGTAGAGGAATTGAGGCTTGAGGCCTCGGCTAGTGGAGGGGACCAGCGCCGCCGCGGTTCCCGGCTCCAGTAGTGGCTGGACAGTAGGTGTGCGTTTCAGGGCCTAGCGACCCGGCCGGTACGTGAGCCCTAACTTCCTGCCTCACCTCCCCCCCCCCCGCGTCCGCGCACGCATCTCGCTTTTTTCATCCGTCATTCTCGTTGTATTGGGTTCGCCGTGTCTCCTCGCCCTCGTCCCCGGGTTGATCCGATCCTGGGGACTGATCGACGCGCCCTGAGGGCTAATTGCGGCACGTTCCAGCTGTCCACTTGAAGGGAGTGGGGCACATTTGTATGGGATTTTGAACTGGAATAGCTATCTTGGAGATCACTCGGTGCAGTTCACAGCCCTGCCCTTCTTAAAACCGAAATCCCTTTAGTTTTTGAGCTACATACCCGCGAAGGTGTGCGGACTATTTCGCGGAAACCTTTTCAAGGTCACCCAGACATCCATGACGCCATAATAAGGTCACTCAAATCTTTCCATTCCGTTGGCCATGCAACAATCGGCCACGAAAAATGTCACTGTCGAGTCGTTCATATCTGGTGTTCGTAAGCACGGCTTCCAGACATGCCGGCTGTCAATTGGCTCTCAATCAACTTTGTGCAAGGTACAATGGTGTAATCAAGCGGGGACGTGTCCAGGAGGACATTTGCTAAACAGAGAAGTTGTACTGTCCACAGCGGCCTTTTCCACTAAAGGTATACCAATGTTTATAAATGAATTTTTTTCTTCGTATCTGATGCTTGCGGAAATACATACAAATGTGGAACATTCCTTTTAAGCCAGGATATCCGAAGGCGCGGTGGGCCGTGGGGCTTCATATGGGTCTAGCAGCCTGCTGCTTGCATTGTATGCCGCGTGTGATGGCTTAAGGGTCAAGGGGCGGCGGCGCTGAACCACGTTCAGGACGTGGAGGGTATCTCTCCGGTTCCACCTGGCCGTGTGTGATGCGTCGTTCGCCCCTTTAGCACCGGGGTCACCCTTGCGGTGATCACCCCCCGAGGGAGTGTCGGGCCGTTCGAAACTTATTCCAGGCGCCACCCGGTGCCGTGGACCGGCCGAAAAGGTGTGGTCTGGGTGCGTTCGAAAGTATGAGAACAAACGACTTTATGCAGCTTGTGTCATCCACCTGTTTCATCATAGGGGATAAAAATGTAAAATCCTAAACTATGACGCACTGTGCCTGTAGAAAACTGGGCGGGCGACCCCACGTACCCCCCGCCCCCTCCCGGATCTACCTTGGCAATTATATATATATATATATATATATATATATATATATATATATATATATATATATATATACACAAATGCGTCGTCAAATGCGTCGTCTAAACGTAGGCATGCAAAGTGGGAGTCGTTTATTGATAAATGTACGGTGAAAGTGGAGCATGGCACTGCTACGTCATTAACAGAAACTGTTAACCAGGTAAGAACGCAGCGGTTCTTATTTGCTGCTGTTTAGGTACTTGTTCGTGGTGCTCGGCGCAACCGCGAGGAGTTTATATTGCGGGTTAGGTAATTTCCGAAAACGTGCTTTTCTTATTATGCTGGATCTAGAGCTGGACTGGGGAACCAAGTTGCAGTTTTGTTTAACCAGCGCGTGACTTTCATCTGTCTTTCATTTGTTTTTCTTCATTGAATTTTATTGGTGGTGGGCTTCCGTATGTCTTGTTGCATCCCGCTCACGTTCTCTGATATTCTGTTTGCAGTTGTGAGCTAGGGTTGTTGCTACTCATGGGAAAGGTAGTTATGGTAATTACTGGCGGGTGGTAACATTCTGTGACTTATTTCTTCGCTCAAATGTGATCTGTTTACATAATGTGAATCGTCCACATTTTATGAATGGCAAAGTTTTTGATTTGGCTCCGACTGCGTCTTGAATTTGAGCTCAAGCCTGCGCCGTGCGAGTTTCATTTCGGGCGCTTAGAACGCATCCAGGTGTGTCTCGGTATTGTCCGCAACACAGGTCCGCGGTGCGTGCTGCGCCATGGCGTTTGCGGGCAGACTTAGACCTATTTCTAATTGGGCGAAGCCTCCGCTCAGTTTTGCTATGCTGGGCGGCAGGTGGGGCGGTTTGGGCGCGCTCAGCCGTCGCGCCGCCGATCTGTAGGTCTGGTCACGCTGTGAGGCGGCCGGTTGACGAAGCTTGAACTGCATCTGTCTCCGCAGGTCGTCGGAGGCGAGGTCCAGTCTGCTGAAGCCCGGCGCGGGAGCCGAGACGGTGGACGACGACGTCATCTTCCTGTCGCAGACGGTGCGGCACTGCTCTTCGAGTGGCGACGAGGTTGTCATCATCTCGCCGACGGACTTCTGTGTACCGAAGAAAGAGCTCGGTGCGGCCCGTGCGGCCGAGGCGGCCATCGGCGAAGAGGACGTCCCCGACGTGCCCCGGCCGCTCACGGGGAAGTGGTGAGTACATGCGGTGTAGTGCACCACCTTTGGATTCGTTATCGGGCTCGGCCAACAACATGACATGTATCTCTCTCAGGGTAGGAATGATCGTGTTTATTCATCATGGTGCCACAGCTGGGGGACATTTTCTTACCAATCGCCTATTGCCAAAATTGCAGCGGGGAAAAGCAGGCACATGAAGTTTGAATGTCAGGTATCATTGAAAGCTACAAGTAAGGTGTGTGTTTTTTACACTGTAATCAACTAATGTTGCCTTTTCTGGCGCAGTTGGTTATTGCAACAAAGGAATCATTTCATCCTGCCTCAACTTGTCACATTGCATAAGGCATGCACGGTGACAAGCATGACGTATTGAGACAGCAAAACAGGCCTGGCTCTGTCCATGGTATTTTGCAAGATAACGACAACTTTACGGAAAGGCTGTGCGTACACAACCTCCAAAGATTACGGGCACTGCACCAGCGCCAGTGTGCAGACATATAGTACGGGCACTGCGCCTGCGCCTGTGTACAGACATAGAGTACGGGCACTGCACCAGCGCCAGTGTGCCGAGAAAGAGTACCGACGCTGCACCAGCGCCGGTGTGCAGACATATAGTACGGGCGCTGCACCAGCGCCAGTGTGCAGACAAACAGTACCGACGCTGCACTAGCGCCAGTGTGCGGACAAAGAGTACGGGCACTGCACCAGCCCAGTGTGCGGACAAAGAGTCGGGCGCTGCACCATCGCCTGTGCACAGACATGTGTACAGACCGACAGTGCTGCCCGACACTGCAGCCGGGGCGGAGCAGTGTCGGGCAGCACAGCTACGGCAAGCAGCCGCTGAGGGAGCGGAGGGGAGGGGGCGACTGAGAAGCCGACGGCGCACAGCACCGGCGGCCAGTGCACCATCGTTACCGGCTGTATTGTGGCCGGCCTGTACCAGCAGGCTCCGTCTCGGCTGAGACATGTTGATCCGTGCTAAATTGAATGGAATTCTTAACCATTCAAACTAGGTGGGAAAGGCCCGTGCGAACACTCTGATTTGAAATCTCTCTCGGTACCTGCATTAAGCGTTCTTATTTCCTAGCACGGTTTGACTGCTTTGATTCCCTCAGTCGTTAAATATTTTCCTTGCTAACAGCTATCTCGATGCGTTGTTTTGATGCGTGCTCAAGTATCTTGCTTTTATATACATATATCCCGCATTTATCGATCACAAACACCATGCGGCTTTGTTTTCCCTTGTACCTGTCTGCGCTCAAAGATTGACGTTGTTCCCGTGCCTCACTCAACCGTGTGCACACAGGCGCCTGTCCCGGTCGTGACGGTCCGTATATGCGGACCCTGTGTTTCGGGTGGTCCATGCCCCCCGCTGACGTTCCATCTGTGCGGACCCTGTGTTCCGGTCGTCCCCCCCCCCTCCCCCCCGCTGACGGTGCGTCAGCGGGGGGGGGGAGGGGGGGGGGAACGACCTACGACCTAGGGTCTGTACGGACCCTAGTTACGAATGTCATTGCCCTTCCCCCCCCCCCCTCCCCACCTCACGTTCCATCTGTGCGGACCCTTGTGCTGTAGGTGGCTCCACCCTATGACGTTACGCATATGCGGACCCCTGTGCTGTGGGTAGTTTCCTCCCTGGCGTGCCGTCTGGGCGGACCCCTGTACCGTGGGTAGTCTCCTGTCTGATGTGCCGTCTGGGTGGACCCCTGTAACGTGGGTAGTCTCCCCTCTGGCGTGCCGTCTGGGTGGACCCCTGTACCGTGGGTAGTCCCCTCGCTAGTATTCCGTCTGGGCGGACCCCTGTGCTGTGGGTAGTCTCCCCTCTGACGTGCCGTCTGGGTGGACCCCTGTGCCGTGGGTAGTCTCCTCTCTGATGTGCCGTCTTGGTGGACCCCTGTATCGTGGGTAGTCTCGTCTCTGGCATTCCGTCTGGGCGGACCCCTGTGCTGTGGGTGGCCTCCCCTTTGACGTGCCGTCTGGGTGGACCCCTGTGCCGTGGGTAGTCTCCCCTCTGACGTGCCGTCTGGGTCTACCCCTGTACCGTGGGTAGTCTCCCCTCTGACGTGCCGTCTGGGCGGACCACTGTGCTGTGGGTGGTCTCCCCTCTGACGTGCCGTCTGGGCGGACCCCTGTACCGTGGGTAGTCTCCCCTTTGACGTGCCGTCTGGGCGGACCCCTGTACCGTGGGTAGTCTCCCCTCCGGCGTTCCGTCTGGGTGGACCATTGTACTGTGGATAGTCTCTCCCCTGGCGTGCCGCCTTGGGTCCACCCCTGTACCGTGTGTAGTCTCCCCTCTAACTTTCCGTCTGGGCGGACCCCTGTACCGTGGGTAATCTCCCCTCTGGCGCTCCGTCCGGGCGGACCCCTGCGAACCCCTATGCTGTGGGTGGTTCATCCGCCCGTGTCAGTTGCCATGCTGACTGGGGTCCTACCTCTACAGGCCGGCCGCCGGCCTCGACACGCCCAAGCAGCCGCACGCCGCCTGGCGCCTGAAGCGAGCCTCCTGCCGTCTAGCGCCGGTGCGCCGCGCCGTCGCCGCTTCCGAGACCGACACCATGCAGGTGAACGCGCTCTCCGCTCCCGCGGCACACAGGCGGCTGCGGACGTCGGGCGCACATTGGGTGTCATGGCGTCCGGGTGGCTTGACTGGCGTGTGACTGTTGTCGCTGTGTTCCTGTCTGGAGATGCCGACCGTTGCTGGCTCGTCACGCGCTCACATGAGGCATCGGATGGGACTGCGAGGATTTGGGGTTGCATCGCCCAGCCGTGGATGTCTTCCACTGTTTCGTAGTTATACACTGTCGGGAGTACCATACAGCTCAGTTATGTTACATGGCTTTGCAGTTGCAGCACCCGTGACCCCACAATAGATGTGAGTGATTTATTGTAATTGGATTTCCTCGGAGTATTTCCTCGGCACTCCTGGCGCCTGCCCCCCGCCCCCTTCCCCCCCGTCCCGTGAAGAGTGAGGAATCCCCCTTTGTCGCGCTACAACTGCTGGTGGCATGACCTCGCCTGACCTACCACCCTCGGAGAGCAGTCGGTTAGGGCGACTGTCCAAATCAGGCCTCACTGGTTGGCGGAAGGTGTTGGATTCGATTCTAACTCGTGGCAAACTTTTCTCGAGTGGCTCGTACCCAGGAGATGGTAGTAACTGGGGAGAGGTCGCCTTGTCGCGGGATTTACGCTGTGCGCTGTATTTACGCCTCACCAGACCCGCGCACGCCAGTGGTGCCACCTGGGATGTCCGACAATAAGCGTTTCGACCAAGACTGTTCCGCAAGGGTGCCGAAAAAGTGAAATATCTGCCGTGTAGACATCGTGTTTTAACTAGCTTGCTACTACCAAGAAAAAGCCCAGGGTGGACGCCAAAAATATTTTTGTTTTGAAAGCGTCGCCTGACCTCGTGCGGCACCACCCCACAGCCGGTGGTCGTGGAGGCAGATGGTCTGACCGTGTGCCAGCGGTTGGAGGCGGCCGCCAACCGACACCAGCTCGTCCGGTCCCGTGGCGGCAACTACGAAGGTGAGTGGGCCGTCTGCTGCGCGTGCGGAGCTGTCACCGCGCGTGTCACACCTCAGGCCTGACCGTTGCCATCACGGCAGTCGTTCGCACTTGTCCGTGGCCGTGGGCTGTCGTCGCGCCAGCTGACGACGGGCCGGTGCCGGCTGCGGCCGTCTGCAGTGACACGGTCCCGGCGTGGCCACCGTGGTCCACCAACTCGTGGAGAAGCCGAGAGCCCGGCAATCCAACTCCGTCCCACAGGCGTGTTTATGGAGAGTTTCCCACTGTTGAAGCATATTTCAAAGCATATTGGGGTGGACCCTTAGTACTTGTGATCAATATTAAAAGTATGGCCAACTGCTTCGCCGACAGGATATCTTAAGTATATTCATTTTAAGGATTTTTCAATGTAAGATATGCGGTCAATATTTCAGAAAATATTACGGGGTCGTATATATGTACAAAAAAGTGCTTGTGTGGCGCTGTGGCAGCCAACATCACCCTGAAACTGCCTTTATTGCAGTGCCGTGTCCACGGCCCGGCTGCCCGTCCCGTGTACGCGAGGAGCACCAGCGGCGTGCGCGGGCATGGTACGAGTTGCCGCGAGTCGCCGTACCCACTCACTTCATCGTGGCTGACCCGGATAGCAGCAGCGGCCTGGATCGCGGTCTGCCCGGCCTCTTCTGCGCGCTGTGCGACGCCTGCGCCGCCATCCAGGTGGGCCAGCGCTGGACCACGCTGGAGCCGCTGCTGCGCGCGCCCGACGGTCGCGATGGCTGGCGTCCGGTGCGCACGCCGTCCGACCGCACCGCGCTCTACCTGCTCAGCCAGTACGTGTACGGCGAGCGCGAGCGGTCGGATGCTGCTGGCGAGCCGCCCATCATGCCCACGCCGCTCGAGGACTCGGCGCTGCTGCTCTGGAGCCGCTCCGAAGCCGTTGGCTTCGTCACGCTCAAGCGGCGTGGTCAGCTGATCGACGGCGGGCCCGAGGCGTTCGCCATGGACGTGGTGGACATGGTGGCGGTGCGGCGCGCTTGTCGGCGCCGCGGCCACGTCACGCGCCTGTTGGATATGCTGCTGGTCGACCGGCCGGGTACGCGGCTCGGCCTCACGAAGCCGTCGCCGGCCATGTGGCGGCTGCTGCTGCGATACCTGACGGCGAGGCCGGCGCTGCGGCCGCGCGTCTGGCTCGTCCAGTGGGCCGGCCACGAGGGCTTCCGCACCAACGTCTGGCAGGAGCTGCTGCGCCGCAGTCGGCACGACCCCGAGTCGTCGTCGGCGGTGGCGGCGTCGTCCGACGGCGAATAGTGAGCGCCGGCGAAGAGCAGAAGATCTGAGGCTTGCCGCGGGGGCCGACATGTTGTCCATCCGCTCGGGTGGGATCAGTGCTGAATCCGTCTGAAGCAATTGTCACTCAGCGATCTAGAGATATGTCGTCGTCATACGCGTGACGAGCTGTAGGTTTACTTCCCGGCGGGGCCGCCCGGCGGTGCGGCCCACCGTGTCGTCCCAAGTTACCCATGTCGTCGCCATTGTCGTGTGCTGCTGGCGAGTCCCTCTCGCCGCTGTATTCCGGGAGAGAAGATCACGAGCTTTCGGTTCGCTCATGTGTGCGAGGTGTTAATGTCCGGCACCGATTGGGTCGCGCGAGCCGGCGCCCGTCGCCACTCGCGGCGGCATCCCGGCCGCGCGGAGCCCCTCTGGCTGTATTTCTGCCACCCTTGTGGCGGGTGTAACTGTGGCTGTGTCGCTGGAAAGCATCCTGTGCAGGCCCCCGCCTCCCTGTGCCGGCTGACCGGGCGGGCAGCGGCCCTCGCTGCCAGCAGCGCCGGTGCTGATGCCGACAGGGAGGGCCGCGCTCGTTTTGTGCCTGGTCGTGCCGCTGTGCGGCTGTGCGGATGATTCGTTTCGGGCACAGTGTTCGGGCCGTTCGTTTCCAGGAAGGAAACCGTGACACCGCCTTTACCACGGTGCATGTATGGTCTTTACTTAAGCGTTTTATCTCTACAGACGTGATGAGACATGTACGGTGTACATATTGAGTCATGCCGGGTTTTGTAGCGAAAGAGGTGGCTGTGTTTTCTCGTATGTGAATGATATCGTCTCAGCATCAGTACAATACAGAATCGTATCTTCACTATCAAGCTTTCTGAGTATAAGCGCGGAGCGTCCGATGTGACCGCGGCGGTCTACCACCCGACATATGAGCCAGCCGTGTCCGCTGCGGTATGCCCGGCCCGTCTAACTTCATGTTCAAGTTTATTTTATTGGCGGGCGATTTCAACACGTGATTTAGTGTTACATCCCTGGTCAGGAGACAATTCCTTCAACTGAATAGGAAACTGCACCCCTGCAGGGCTAGTTACGTTAAGTACGTCTTTGATGATTTGAGTAGATAAGTCTCAACCATCATTCAATATTTGATGGATTGCTTAAGGTCATCCAATTCAACATCTGGTCTGCAACGGAAGTGCAGACAGCGATATTAAGAACACTGCAGGGTGATCCTCGGCTGACGCGGGTGACGGGCGTGTTACAAACACGTACGCGCGTAACTAAAAGTGAAAAGTACAAAAATGTGGTATACTCCCTTTAGCTTGTGAAAGCTACCAAATTCGCTTGAGACATAGATTGACACAACAGCGGCAAAAATGAGGTTCGTTTTATAGCGTTTCAGCCCAGGAAGCTGTACGCCCGAATCCAGGGCAAGACGGGCACCGCGTTGAACTTGTTACACGGCCTTGGTTCTTGTTCACAGTCGCAGTGTGCGATGTTACATGCTTGGGTATGTGGATTACCGTGGAATTACGGAATTGTGGAGTATTAAGCGCACCGTAGGAGGTAGCGTTTGATACCGAGAAAGTCGTTACAACCTTCGTCTAAGGTAAGACTCGCCGGAGGACCCTCATGGTTTCCATAGACATTCACTGGGTTTGGAGAAACATTTCAACCATTGATGCAGCAGACCACAAAAATGCACGTGCTGCTGGACGTATCCAGAGTGAGCATGTCGGTGCAGCAGCAGCATTTTAGCAACAGTTTTGATGTGTATGTTGTAACTTCGAATTTCCAGTGCTTTCTTCTAGGCTGCTACCAGTCTCAGTGCATAGAAAACAAAATATTGAAGGAATTGTGGCATTGCATATGTAGTTTTGGTCACAAATACACTGAAGATAGTTGTTTTTGCAAATCAAATGAGAAGTAGTAGGAATTAGAGCACTGTGCTCAGTGCTGTGTTCTCTGAATGTTGAGCTACTGTCAAACATTACTAATGGAGTTACTGGAAATTCTGATGCTTCAGCATGCTTGCACATTGATTTCACAACATTTACAAATACTGTCACCAGTGGCACATTGGCATTGAATGATTTAAACTGTCACATGTTGCTGTTTATGCTTCAATGTTAGGCAGCTGAACCACGTATAAATAAACTTACACAATTCACCACACTTAGAGAGCCCTACCTGCTTAGTGTCTCTATGTATGCTTCTTAGTAAGGAACATATTCATATCTGCATATGTAGGAAAGTACAAAGAAAAGCTGTATCTTGTCTATCAAAGCTTGTTCAGCGCAGAGGCTGTCAATGATTGGAATATTCTGTATCCCCCAACCCCCCGAGGTGGTGCATCCTTAACCCAAATTGATGAGTTCAAATCTAGGCTTGATTTATACTGGGCTGGCATCATGTTTGACATCCCACACTGATCAATCCCTAATTTGAGATTGTTGCTGCTCAGTCATATGAACCACAGGCTAAGTGGCTTTTTAATACTACTGCCTTGCCAGTGGTCTTACAAAAACCCAAGCCATATACTGGATTCATTCATGAAATCTGTGGGCTAAGCCTCATGACCATGTAACAAAAACTCTGGTCAGGTCAGATTGTGCTCAATATTCAAATTAGGAGTGTGTGTCAACTGGCACTGCAACTGTAAACAAGTCTCATATCTCATTGATATAGGAAACTACTTGAGCATCCAGGCTGTGGGTGCCTGCTTCACAATATCACAAATTGCCAGCACTACTACAGCTCCATGCTGTATTTTTTGTAACTCTTTTATTTGAGCAGTCTCTTGTGATTGGGCTCAGCCCCCTATTTTTATAATTTCTAATGGTATTTAAAAATTGTGGCATGCTTACTGTGAGAAAGTGGTTGTGGTTGTGCTGAAAGGAACAGCACACACCAAATCAGCAAGGTTTGTGCTAACCAGGGGTATTAGGTTGTCTCAAGTGTTCTTGTAGACCATCTGGTGAAAGGCTGGCTCAAAGCAGCATGATTGTTGTTGTGCCAGTCATACAGTGCTAACATTCTTTGGTTGGAGATAGGTAGCTACACCAAGTTGCCAGTTATTGTGAGTGTTTTGGTGAGCTAATATATTAACCTGAGAAGTGTCTTAGTACTTGACCCTCTGCCCCTCTGCTGGCAGGCCTGCTGCCATGTCTCTACGCGGCTGGGTGGACGACCAGCTGCACGAGGTGCTCGGCCTCTCAGACAAGTATGTCAGCCAGTTCCTGATCGAGCTGGCGCAGCGCAGCGGCTCGGCTGACCAGCTGCTGGACAAGATCCGTGACACGGGCACCATCGACGTCGACGAGCGGGTGGCGGCGTTTGCGCGTCAGCTGCATGGTCGCGTGCCGCGCGCCGCCGCCGCGCCGCCGCCGCAGCGCGCCCGCGAAGCGGCGCTGGCCGACGTGTACCGCCGCAACCAGCAGTACCGCCTGCTCTCCGACGATGACGAAGACGAGGAGGCGGGTGCGGCTGCCACGACAGCCAAGCCCGCCAAGCGTAGGAAGCATATCAGGTGGGTGGGGTGGGAGGGGCATCAGGGGGCTGGAGGCTTACATCTGGTGTTAGATCACGTGCACTGAGGCGTGGCAAGCAAGCTCTTTATTCCAATAATGAGGCTTGCAAGCATTTGTTCTAAAAAAGCAGCAGATTTTGAATGGTTTGTTGGTTTTGTTGCATCCACTTATGGTCAGAAATTGGCGACAGGGTGGGTCATGGAACAGATTTTACATTTACAACATTACTTTCCAGCAACAGAAAAGAAGGAAGATAATACAAAGCATAGTTAATTGCAAACCAGCAACACAATGTCTTTCTGCACCACCACGCCGCTATATCCACCACTACCCCAAGGGCAGCATAAAGTGATGATTCCATGTGCTACCATGGTTGCTTGTTCCAATCTTATAGTTATGTTCTCTGCACTGGATCTAAAAACGCGTGCCATCGTTCGTAGCTGTTCATGTCTGTTAACGTCCGTAGGCCTGCTGGGGACAATTTTTCCTCACTAGATTGGGGTAAGGCAGTGGTCTCAACATACACCATGACCAGTTGCAGTACATGCCCATTATCAGTGCTCAGATAAGCTACTACTTCGCTGATCCTCCGAAAATGTGTCATGCATCCCTCTCGATGTCGCCAATGTGGTAGATAATCGTTCGTGCATCTTAGAATGCGTCAGAATTGTGACGACCGAAGACACTATGCCTATCAGGTTATGAACAATGCATTTCACTGTTTATCAATGTTGTATGACATGTTACAGCAGGAGTGAATTAGGCGTCCATATCGTTCCTTGTTGGCCGCCATCTTTGTTCTTATGATCCTCGTTTGGCATGCTCCACAGAAACATACTCTGCAGTTATTTAGTTGCGGAGTGGATAACATACAGAAAAATACGAGCTTCAGTCACGGAATTTGGTGTGTTGTCCTTCACCAGGTCACCGTTGAACAGAGTCTATTCAATCATCTCACAGATTGTCATTCGGTGCTTCGTCTGAACCTGTGTTTAATGACAGTCCCATGTCACCTTGTGCCCGTAGGAAGCGGAAGACGTCGTCCAGCTCTGACTCGGCTCCCGACGATCGGCCGCAGGGTGGCGCTAGCGGCGCGCCGCAGGATGGCGCTACCAGCTCCGAAGACGAGCTGGAGCGTGAGGAGAAGGAGCGCATCAAGGATCTGGCCGAACGGGACGCTTTCTCCGAGAGAATAAAAAAACGGGACAAGGACAAGACCAGGAAAGTCGCAGAAAAATCAGGTATGAATGCAGGGCTCTAGCAACCCTCACGCGTGATGGAATGTAACGCATTTCGATGTGTAATATATCTCACGAATCCTGAATTTGGGCTTCAAGGGTAGGCGATCCACGTCAAGGACAATTCTCAAGTTCTGTTCATTGACTTTGGTCTGTTTTTGTTTAGCCTGCTGCACTGCTTACATTGCTAGAAATTGAATGCGATGGCATGTTGGACGTGTTGCACAGCGCTCGCAGATTTATTTCATAAACCTCTCAGTTATATCAGGGAATGGATTGGCTGCACACAAATGTTATCATGTAACAGACAATGTCTAAACCCCGCATACTTCGTACAGTCACAAGCTGTTAGGCTCGAACGGTTCGGTTATCATCAACTTTTGAGACGTGCCAGTCACCTTCCAGCAATATTTGTCGAATCGATAGAGATTAGGACTTATTGATGACAGCAGAATAGTAGTCTCCATTGGTGATAAAGACACTTTTTTAGAAGAATGATATATCAGTTGGCTCCTAACATTCCCGTATCGCGGAACGCTGTGACGTGTGGCGAATGTTGCCTCTCGAAGTAGCGACTGGTTCGATAACTGATAAACCTGGGCACCCTTTCCCTTTGTTCGTGTTTTGTTCCTTCATTTGTTCTTGCCGATTGCCGGGGTACTGTAGTTGGTAGCGTATCCGCTGCAAAGCAAACGCCGTCCAAATGTTCCACATTTGAAGATATTGACGCAATCATCAGGTATGATGAAATTAGCTCACTTTTTACAATTGATATGCTTTTAACTGGAAAAGACTGCACTAGACAACACAGTCTCTTGTGAGTGAATATGCTCCTCGATGCGTCAGTATTAAGGTGCCTCCTTGTACCTTGCACAACAGCGATTGAGAGCCAATTGATCGCCGTTATATCCGGAAGTGGTGCTCACGAACGCCAGATATGAACAACTGGACAATTATATTTGTATTTGCCCTGATCGCCTCATGGCCAGTGGACTGGCAGGATATGAATGACGTTATGATGACGTTATGGATGACTGGGTGACATTGAGAAGGCCTGCACGAAGTGGTCAAAACGTCTTCGCGGGCAGGCATGGCATGACAAACATATTAACAGCTATACATTTGGCCACCAGGTTGCCGGCAGCATTGATAATAGATTATTTGGTCGACTTAGACAGGATGATATTTCGGTTTCGAAAAAGTGAACCTTCACGGAAAGAGAGCATCTCATGATGCGGTATAATTACATATGCGCCTGCGATTTGTTACTCTCAGTAGGCATTCATGTGTGTGCCTATTTGCGTGTCAAATCAGATCATTTGTGGAAAGCCCGGTTCCGGTTTGTTCTATTGCAATTCGAGTGACTACTTGTCGTCAATGACGTTTTTCGTTTTGTGTTTCGTCTGATTATGTTCTAACTTCTTTGCTTCGCGGAACGCCAGAACTTGCGCCGACTTGCAACTTCTGACATGTGACTCGTCTTTGCAGAAATCAGATGAATTTGTTGCCTTCAGTTCCTGCTCATGGCACACCAGTCAGTGTGCTGTAACTCGTTTCCGGCCTGGCCTTTGGGAGACGCACCCTTTGTCTGTTAAATTACACGTTAACGCGCCACTGATGTGTGCAGTGCGCGACGGCTTTTAGCCGTTTCACCCTGGCTGTATCACCTGGGTCTGAAACCCTGCACATGCCATGTGGTCACCGCGTGTCCAGCTCACACCCGTGTGGTGGTTCCGCTCCAGACAAACGCGGCTTCGAAGAGGCCGCCAAGCGGCTGCGCCTGGAGGCCGAGGACCGCGCCAAGGCGGTGCCTAAGCTGCGCGTCGAGTCGCGCCGTAAGTACCTCTCCAAGCGCAAGGAGGACAAGATGACGGAGCTGGAGGCCGACATCGCCGACTGACGAATACCTGTTCGACGCGTCGCAGCTGACCGAGCGCGAACGCCGCGAGCGCGACTACAAGAAGCGCGTGCTGGCGCTGGCCAAGGACCACGAGCGGGCCCGCGAGCTGGAGAAAGTGCAGCGCTACCACATGCCCGAGGACGTGCAGGAGGAGCCGACTAAACGCTACACGGAGGTGGACGCGCGCGAGCGGGTGCCCAACTCCGAGCAGAAGAAGTGGGAGGAGGAGAAGCTGCAGACGGCACAGTACCGGTTCGGCGCGCGCGACGCCAAGCCCAAGGAGGAGACCAAGTACGAACTGGTGCTGGAGGATACGGTGGAGTTTGTGCAGGCGATGAAGATGCCCGGTACGCTGAAGAGCTCCAGCTCGGAGGAGGAGGACGACAGCGACGGCGACGGCCGACGCAAGAAGAAGAAGAAGAAGAAAGTCAAGGTGAAGTCGCAGCTGGATGTGGACGCGGAGCGCCAGCTGTCGGCGCGCGAGAAGAAGATGAAAGAGATTGAGGAGTGCCAGCGCAGCCTGCCCGTCTTCCCGTTCCGGGACGACCTGATCCAGGCGATCCGCGACCACCAGGTGCTGATCATCGAGGGCGAGACGGGCAGTGGCAAGACGACCCAGATTCCGCAGTACCTCTACCACGCCGGCTTCTGCGACAACAACATGAAGATCGGCTGCACACAGCCGCGCCGCGTGGCCGCCATGTCTGTCGCCTCGCGCGTAGCCGAGGAGCTGGGCGTCAAGCTGGGCAACGAGGTCGGCTACAGCATCCGCTTCGAGGACTGCACGTCCGAGCGGACGCGGCTGAAGTACATGACGGATGGCATGCTGTTGCGAGAATTCCTCTCGGAGCCCGACCTGGCCTCCTACAGCGTCATGATCATCGACGAGGCGCACGAGCGCACGCTGCACACGGACGTGCTGTTCGGCCTGATGAAGGACATCGCGCGCTTCCGCAAGGACCTCAAGCTGCTCATCTCGTCGGCCACACTCGACGCCGAGAAGTTCGCCGAGTTCTTTGACGATGCGCCGGTATTCCGCATTCCCGGCCGGCGGTACCCGGTGGACATCTACTACACGAAGGCGCCCGAGGCGGACTACATCGACGCCTGCGTGGTGACCGTGTTGCAGATCCACGTCACGCAGCCGTTGGGCGACGTGCTCGTCTTCCTCACCGGTCAGGAGGAGATCGAGACATGCCAGGAGCTGCTGCTCGAGCGCACGCGCCGGCTCGGCTCCAAGATCAAGGAGATGATCGTGCTGCCCATCTACGCCAACCTGCCGTCCGAGATGCAGGCCAAGATCTTCGAGCCGACGCCGCCGGGCGCGCGCAAGGTCATCCTGGCCACGAACATAGCCGAAACGTCACTCACCATCGATGGCATCATCTACGTCATCGACCCGGGCTTCTCCAAGCAGAACAGCTACAACGCCCGCACCGGCATGGAGTCGCTGATCGTGACGCCCGTCTCGAAGGCGTCGGCCAACCAGCGAGCCGGCCGCGCCGGTCGCGTCGCCGCCGGCAAGTGCTTCCGCCTCTACACGGCCTGGTCGTTCGCGCAGCGAGCTGGAGGACAACGCCATCCCCGAGATTCAGCGCGTCAACCTGGGCAACGTGGTGCTTCTGCTCAAGTCGCTGGGCATCGACGACCTGCTGAGCTTCGACTTCCTGGACCGGCCGCCGCAGGAGACGCTGATGCTGGCGCTGGAGCAGCTGTACGCGCTGGGGGCGCTAAACCACCGCGGCGAGCTGACCACGCTCGGCCGGCGCATGTCCGAGCTGCCTGTCGACCCGCAGCTCTCCAAGATGATCATCGCGTCCGAGCGCTACAAGTGCTCGGAGGAGATCGTCACCATCGCCGCCATGCTCTCCGTCAACAGCTCCGTCTTCTACCGACCGAAGGACAAGGCCGTGCACGCCGACACGGCGCGCAAGAACTTCTTCGTGCCGGGCGGCGACCACCTGGTGCTGCTTAACGTGTACGAGCAGTGGGCGGAGACCGACTTCAGCACGCAGTGGTGTTACGAGAACTTCATCCAGTACAGGTCAGTGAGCTTGCTCGGCGCGTAGTGCCGGCTGCGTGTTACTCAGTGCGCGTCGCCCGGAGCGTAGTACTCGCTACATAGCGATGGGCTGGTTACGTCTCGTTCCGCACTTCGGCACTCGGTACACGGTACACGTGTTTGTGCACGTGGTACTCTGGGCAGGTCACGCCGGCTCGCCTGCCGCCGCCTGCGACTGGACGTCTGTTGCTGGCGATGCATACTCTCACACGTCAGTTCGGCCGGCGCCATTGTGTGCGTGCAGTCTGGCGCACGGGGTGCTGTAACGGCGGCCGGTGTGCGGCTGGCCTGATCCACGACCAGACGTCTCTGTCGGACGGACGGCCGGTGTGCGGCGGGATTGATCCACGACCAGACGTCTCTGTCGGACGGACGGCCGGTGTGCGGCTGGCCTGATCCACGACCAGACGTCTGTCGGACGGACGGCCGGTGTGCGGCTGGCCTGATCCACGATCAGACGTCTCTGTCGGACGGACGGCCGGTGTGCGGCTGGCCTGATCCACGACCAGACGTCTCTGTCGGACGGACGGCCGGTGTGCGGCGGGACTGATCTGCGACCAGACGTCCCTGTCGGGCGGACGGCCGGTGTGCGGCGGGACTGATCCGCGACCAGACGTCTCTGTCGGGCGGACGACCGGTGTGCGGCGGGACTGATCCGCGACCAGACGTCCCTGTCGGACGGACGGCCGGTGTGCGACGGTACTGATCCGTGGCCAGACGTCTGTCGGGCGGACGGCCGGTGTGCGGCGGGACTGATCCGTGGCCAGACGTCTCTGTCGGACGGACGGCCGATGTGCGACGGGCCTGATCCGTGGCCAGACGTCGCCTTCGGACGGACGGCCGGTGCGCGGTGGGCCTGATCCGTGGCCAGACGTCTCTGTCGGACGGGCGGCCGGTGTGCGATGGGACTGATCCGTTGCCTGACGTCTCTGTCGGACTGACGGCCGGTGCGCGGTGGGACTAGTCCACTGACAGAGGTCTCTGTCGGACGGCCGGCCGGTGCGCGGCTGGACTAATCTACTGCCAGAGGTCTCTGTCGGACGGACGGCCGGCGCTCCGACGTTCGGGGTCGGGGCCCGCTGGGTGGCTCACCGGGGCCGGGTTGGGCAGTCCCAGGCTCACAGCCGAGAGCATAGCCGCAAAACCATCTCGGAATTCGACTGTGGTCTGTGATGGGCCGGTATTTGTGTCGGGTTGAGGGAGGATGTGCTGCATGGAGCCTTGCACTTGACACCGGCGTCCTAAATCGCGAGGTAGGGGTTATAGGGTGGCCGGATGACGTCTCGCAAGGCTCAGCTAAGTTGCTGTGCATTGCCGGACCCCTGAGTAATGCTTGCTTGCATCAATGCCGCAGTTGAAGCAGGCATGCGCACAGTCTCTGTAAAAAACATGCGCGCATTTTACATCCGCACTCATAATCCCGTACATGTGCGGTCAATCGCTCGCTCATGGATGCATACAGATATGGGCCATGCAGGGCACAGAGAAGATGTAATGTCAAAAAGGTACAGAGCACATTAAGTTGGCAATAACTTGGACATGTGGTTGTAGGCGTTGGTATGTGGCCTGTTGTGAGTTAGCCTGTCCTCGAGCGTTTAATTTGTGGCATTTTGAACGAGGATGAAAGCTGTTATTTTACTCACATTTTTCACGCTGCGCGTTAGACCTCCGAGAATTCCCTGGAAGGCCTCCCATCTGTCAACCAAACTGCGATGCCATTGGGGCTCGTTACACGCTGGGCCATTTTTCTCCCCTATTTTAACCTTAAACATACACCATGATCTTTCGACGAGCGTTCAGCTGGCGGCCCCGACGCCAAGTTCGGAGTAGCGGCGCCCCCGACCGGCCTCCGCTCGGCTCGTAATGAAGGGCCCGTCGGCCGCGGTAAATCACCGACGCCGGCGACACTTGATGCGGGGCACGGCGCGGACGACTTGATGCGGCGCACGGCGCGGGCGACTCTTGATGCGGCGCGGCGCCGACCGGACGTGAGGGCACGCCACCGGCCTCGCCGCGTCGTTATGACTTCGCGACGTGTTGACCGGGCGGAGTTGAAAGCGCCCGCCTGCGACAGCACGTGCTTAGAATAGCTGGACTGATCGAGCGGTCCGGCTGCCACAGACAAAGACCAGCCTCGGCCCGCACTCCTCGAACGCCAGCCTCCTCCTCCCCCTTCTCGAGCGCCGCCCTCCTCTTCCCCCTCGAGCACCGCCTCCTCTTCCCCCTCCTCGAGCGCCGCCCTCCTCTTCCCCTCCTCGAGCGCCGCCCTCCTCTTCCCCCTCCTCGAGTACCGCCCTCCTCTTCCCCCTCCTCGAGCGCCGCCCTCCTCTTCCCCCCTCCTCGAGCGCCGCCCTCCTTTTCCCCCTCCTCGAGCGCCGGCCTCCTCTGCCGTGTTCCTTCATACACTCACCGGCTCCATGTTGTGCAGTATCTTGCTCTGTGGCTCCATGGTTTCTGTCTTCTCTGCCGTGCTCCTTCATACAATCACCGGCTCCCTGTTCTGTGCGATCTTGTTCTGTGGCTCCATGGTTTCTGTCTCCTCTGCCGTGCTCCTTCACACACTCACCGGCTCCCTGTTCTGTGGTATCTTGTTCTGTGGCTCCGTGGTTTCCCTCTCCTCTGCCATGCACCGTCACACACTCACACACCGGTTTCCCGCTCCATGGACACCTCGACCCTGTACTGTGCTCCTCATGCGTCCTGGTTCTCTGTTGTGGCAGCCGGAGACACCCCGGTTTCTATTGTGGTGGTTCCCAAGCAGCCTGATATTCGCACTGCAGTGGTAACGGGTACCTGAGCTGTGGAGGGCTCCTACACTGCTCACCTAGCACCTCCCCACCCCCCAACCCCGCTGTGATGGTCCCTAGAAGCTGCAGTCCCGTGTGGTGGTGGCGCGGATTTATACTTCGGTCGGTCGGTGTTGGTTTCTGACCGCCGTCTCACGCCACGTTTCACCTCTTGTTGCGCAGTAGTGCCGGCGTCTTCATCGTGAGATCTCTCTAGGGCCATTGGCCGCTCGCGCCAGCCGGCGGCTGGCGGCCTCGGCCGTTCGCGCTACCGCACTCGCGCCGAATCTCCTGTCAGCAGGTCGTTTGCGCGCCGGCCAAATGATGAGAACAAATCACGGCCGACCGTGCAATTTGAGTCGGCTGGTTTTTCGTCGCCGCTTCGGGCGGTGGAGCCGTTCCGCGCGCGCCCTGCTGGGACTGCGGGATTTGGAGACCGGCTGGGCTTATTACGAACTGCGACAGTGAGGCATGTCTTGTAGCGGGCTGTGTCGCTCATTGGACGGCCCTGCTGATCAGAGCGGCCGTCTTTTGTCCCGCCTGGGAAGACGGTCAGCTGCCACTGCCGTTTTCGATGTCAGTTTCATAGCAAGACCGCAAGCGCAGATTGCGTGTGGAGGCGAAGGCAAGGCTATTTGCATGCTCTGCGTTCGGAGGGCATGCAAATATGACCGGGCGGTAGCGCACCCGCGGAGCCTTGATGTCTGTTTGCTAATTTGCATAGCTTGCGCGCTTGTAGCGGCAGCTGTTCGCAATGCTAGCCGTCATTCTGTTGGGAGTGGTTCGGACTGCGCGGTTGTGATTTTTGTTGAGACAGTGTTTTCTGCTGAAATGTCGGTTTGGTCTGGAAGTCATCCTTGGAAGAGATGCCTTTCAGCCTGAGCTATTCTTACGTCCATTTTCAGCGCCAGGCTTGTACGATTCAGTCGTATTTTAAGCATACTCGGTAACTGTACTAATCCCTGTTGACTGGCGAAATGCTTTCTGGTACCTTCGTATGCTGACGGTAACATTGCTCTGATAGTTGTTTCCGTTGCCGTCGGTTTCCTATTTGGCAATGTGCAACACAGGGCACGTCCATCTGGAGGATACGGCCCGGACGTGGTTTGCAGACCATGAGCAGCTGGTCATAGTTGTTCACGGTTAAATGCCGCACCAATGCCGGTAGTCGACACTGCGGTGGTTGGTTTTAAAGATTAGTGTTAAGTGACTCAAAGATTATTGATTCCAACTGCTTCTAGGAATTTCGATATTTTCTCCGCTCCAGAAAAGGCAGTCGGCCAGTTATGTTCTATAAGATCGATACGTTTGGACATGAATGTGTTGCCCGACCTCGAACGTGTCCGAGACTTTGTCACGCCTGTTAGCAGCCCGTGGCCCGTTGTGTCGGCGCGTCTCGGTCGCGCTGACTCCGCCAATGACCCTCCCGCTCTGGCCGGCAGGTCGATGAAACGCGCGCGCGACGTACGGGACCAGCTGGCCAGCATGATGGAGCGGATCGAGGTGCCGCTGGTGGCGGCCAGCAAGGAGGACAACACCGGTGTCCGCAAGGCCATTACGGCCGGCTTCTTCTACCACACGGCGCGGCTCACCAAGAGCGGCGGCTACCAGACGGTCAAGCAGAGTCCAGACGGTGCACATCCATCCCAACTCGTGCCTCTTCGAGGAACTGCCGCGCTGGGTCATCTACTTTGAGCTGGTCTTCACCACGAAGGAGTTCATGCGGCAGATTGTGGAGATCGAGAGCGCCTGGCTGCTGGAGGTGGCACCGCACTACTACAAGGGCAAAGAGCTGGAGGACTCCACTAACAAGAAAATGCCTAAGGGCAAGGGTAAGTCGAGGTCTGAGCTGGAGAGATAGCGCGCGTGTGTGTGTGTGGGGGGGGGGGGGGGCGTGTGTCAATGTCCGTTTTCCATCACCGTTGCATCCTGTGATCGGTTGTTGATCGTACGCCTCATTCATCGTAACGAGAATATATGCAGCAAATGTGTGGCTTTTTGCACTCCAGCGAACCTGAAAAGGTGTGGATTTGTCTTTGACAGTGACCGGATTTGACATGAAACGGTGTAATTCAAGTATTATTTTCAGTTGTTTCCACCCTTACTTTCATTGTAGCTTTCAATTGCTGTGTTTTCAACCCAGTGAGCCCCGCCGCTCCTGAGGCGTCTTCATTCGGCTATTTCCCCTCCCCCCTTGTTTGAACTCGGGAGATATTGTCCCTTCAACTGTGCGCTGGAGGCTATGGAAATGCTGGCTGAGTGGGATAGGAGCCTGTGCGCAGGGCGTCGAAGAGCTGAAAAAAATAAAAGTAAAATATAACACGCTATTTTCTTGCGGTACTAACCCACGCGGTTAGTATCTATCCATAAACGCTTAGGTATTATCTTCAACCCATTGTGCCTTCGTTATTTCAGCTCACTCGGAACCGAGCGCCAGGTTACGAGGATGACCGCATGATCGTAATCAATAATATAAATGCAGCCTGGCTGCTACGTGGTGGTGGGGGCCTTGAACTTTCGTAATTAACCTTAAAGCTAGTTACGAAAGGCCAAACGAAACGCTCTTAGAGCCGATTGGGCCCGACCCCACAGAATGGATGTGGGAGAGTGGAGCCCGGGAACAACGCACCGAGGCCACATAACACGAGGCGCAGAGGCGGAGTGAACGCTGCCGAAAGCAGGCACTGTTCCACGAGCAAGCACCCCATCGCATTGGCTGAAAAGAAGAAGTATATACGCATCCTACTTAAAGGCACCTGGCCACTTGGTACTTGGTATGGCCACTTAATCTTTTGTGATTGCGGTGATGCTGCTCCAAACGTTCCAACTACAAGATTGGTGGTTGGATTTCGCTGCCGATGGCATATCTTGATTACGAACCGCGCTCCACCATGAATAACGCAGGCATTTGGGTAAATACTAGAAACGACAGACACAAAGCTGATAATAAGAAAACTGAGCAATGGCGACGTAGCTGACAATTACAATGCAAGTAGGCAGGATGATGTCGCGGAAAATATGTAAGAAAGCCAAAAACACGCCAGAACACGCGCATGCGCTCCTTTGTTGAAGCCCATCAATCAACTATGCCACCCCGTTGTTGTGGCGTCATGGCGTAGAAGCTCTACATGTTAGCCACGCCGTCCGCTACAGCGGCGGGACTGACGCGTTTACTCTGGCAGGGACTGTCACTTCACAAAGATGTTCCATGACGCAATAAAACCATGACGTAATCAGGACCATATCTAATAATTGGTGAGATCACGTAAAAAACCCATAGGACAAAAGTTAAAGTTAAAAACAAAGATGTAAGAAGCTATATTATGATCGGAACACAATCGAACCACATTAGCGAAATCGCATTATGTATTTTGAGCAGTCAGTTGCGTTTAAAAGCAGATCAGTAGTTACAAACGAGCTTTCCTTATCATATCTGATGTTGGCCTCAATCTTTTCAAATGCAGAGTAGTCTCTTTAAAGGGAGCATTCCACATGTGTCTGGGGCGTTCAAATGTGATCATTTTAAAGATCATTCGATGCGGTTCACAGCCCTGTCCTGCTTAAGGCCTATACCACTCTAGTTTTTGAGTTACACGTCCGCGGAGATGTGCAGACTATTTCCGGGATACTAGTTCAAGGTCACCTAAGCATCCGCGACGCCGTAATAACGCCATTCGAATTATGTCATTCCATTAGCCATGCTGTGAGCAAGGCCAAGAAAAATAAAATGTCGAGGTCGTTCATATCTGGCGTTTATATCGTTGAGTCGTTCATATCGTTGTTATGAGTCGTTCATATCTGGCGTTCGTGAGGACAATTTCCAAATATAAATGCCGTCAATTGGCTCTCAATAATCAATGTTGCGCAAGGAACGATGAGGTTATTAAACAATAACGTATTGAGGACTATATTTATGAACCGAGAAATTGCGTTGTCTAGAGCAGTCTTTCACACTCGAAAGTATACCAATATCTATAAGTGAATTTATTTCATTCTATCTGATGCTTTTATCAATCTCTTCAAATGTGGAGCATTCAAATTTAAGCGACTTCCGCGTGGAAGGGTTTGGCTTACGGAAATTTTTTATAATCCTATAGTTTCCGTAACTCAACATGAGAAAGAAAGGCCTTCAGGTCCTCTTTTTCGGCATTATGGGTTAAAAGTTCATATGTTGAGTTAACGCCCTTCAGTATTCTAGAAGGTACTGATTAAGCGACATTAAAATGCTAGGTAACGATTATATGAATATGGTTTTTCGTCGTTCGTTAACTGTTGATTGTTAATACGCGCCCGGGTGGCCAGCTGAATGCCTTTCGCCTGGGTAGGAGTTGGAAGTTGGTCAATTTGGCCCCTCCCCTGAGATCTTGCAAACTAAAATAGCCAGGTACCGGGTGGCCGGTTAAATACCCTTCGCTCGGATGGTGGCCCAATCTGACCCCTCCCCTGAACTCGCGCAAACTGAAGCCACTAGGTACACCAAACTCGCACAATAGATTAGCCTGTGCGTGAACTCACTTGTATCAAAATTTGAGATTCCTTGGTTATGACTTTGCGGTTAAGTCTGGTCAAACACAGTCAAACTCCAGATCGGTGTCCCAGTTGCCCTCAGCCTTCCTCGTACAACCGCTGTAACGCTAGGTACCTGTTCTGATGTTCTGAGCAAAAGGTCATTGGATTCAGTGACCTTGTTTGACCTTCATAACGTGAAGATGGCCAAAAACCTACTGGATTACTGCTATTTTACCATTGGAATAAGCTTCAGGAATTACGCTAGGCGGTGGGTTTCTGAAGACAAAATATTGACCTAAAACATTTTTGGTCAGTTACCTACTCTGACCTATAGAAAGACCATGGAACATGTATGTTGCCGTCCCTGTCATTATTTTATTATAAATCGGCACCAGAAACTACTCCATAAAACTAAGCCTTCGAGCAAAAAGGTTAGTTTTGACGTCGCTCCAACCTTTATAGCTAACGCTAAGTCATTTGAATTGATGGTAATTCTAAATTGAATTGGTTTGTTGCTAAATTAACTATCTCAGACATGTGCGGCTTCATTTGACGGTCTGTTGTTACAACACATTGAACGATTCCTAAGAAATGCCCTTCGCTGACAGCCATGGCGTGACTATGACCTGCCATAGGCTAACGACCTTATAAGTTACTCCTGCGTTCGGAATTCATTCTGGAAGAACCTCCGGACGGGGGTCAATTTGACTGATCCCTCCTCCTCCCCCCACCTACCCACCCGAGTGCGAGATTATAACAAACAATATGACCGTGTATCGTCCGCTAATCGTTTGTGAAACATTAATCGTGAATATACTTGTTATTCGATACTACAACGTTGTTTAAAAACGCCTCCAAGTGTACCCAAGGTCGTTAACTCAACGTATGCCGACACTGCTTAAACCTTCGACGCAGCTGCTTAGCCGCAGCCAATCCAGAGTAATAATGAAATCGCCGGTTGCACGAGGAAGATGTCTGCAAACTGCGCCGCAACGACAACCTTTCCGCAATGCATCTAATGGAACTGCACCATACGTGGACAGCGTGCTCATAGAATACTCATGGTGAAGACAAGCACTACCAAATTTTGGCACCTTCAAGAATGAACGCTTGGAGTAGCAACGCGTCAACATAATCAGCCCCTGTCGGTCTAAGATGTTTCACTTATGCATGAAGGTAATAGGTCATGTGTGCTCTGGGCCGAAAAAACTCAATTTCGACAAAACTAAGCGCGAATGATGAGAGCTAAAGGTAGCTAAGGGAGGGAGCTACCAGTGATACGACCCCATTGGCTTTAATCTCCACCTCCCCCCTCCCCCCTTCCTATTGATCCCATCTCCCCAAACCCATTGGTTGCGGAGATGCGTCATAAAGCTGCAGGCCGCCTGCCAGCCGGCTGGTCATGGTGCGACGCACCACACCAGCTGCGCGCCCACGCCGGCTCTCAAACAGGAGCCGTTCTTTTAACCCAATTCGTGCGAGGTCTCCCGGGACTTGGATCCGCGCGGTTTCAGTCCACGCTGGCATCTCTACGTGTGATGAAGGGATTTGCTCGTAGCTGAGGCGCAGGTATACTGGCTTTCGTGGTTTCTTCTGCCACAAGACCAACGGCAGATTAAGAGCACTGACTGGGATGGATCGGGTTTAACGAGCACTGGAATGAGGTTTCCAATGCTGGAAACGAACATTGGCCTAAGCAGTGTGATGAAATTTGAAAGCTACTAATCTTTTCTTTTCTAACACTTTGAGGACAGGCTGCAGTAACTCTTCCAGTATTTGTTTTCAATGACAAGCTCTTGGGGTGCCGGTAGTGTATTGGTTAACGCGTCTGCGTTAACCACTGCGTGTCTGGGAAACCAGGGGTACGGGGTTCGACTTCCCGCGGTGCCTGCCCTTCCTGCCAGGATGAGAGGCAGGCGACACCATATAGCCTTAGGGACTGAGTGCGTCGTAAAGCCCCAATGACATGACATGCACACAATAACAAGCTCTCGGATGCAACCACTTAGTAAGAATTCTCATTTCGTCAACAATTCAACCTTAGGAGCCTTTGTCGGTCGAATTATCATTTGCTGCTGACAGTGATAAGTGCCGTCCCTCTTTCGCTTGTCTTGTCTCAGAATGCTGCTTGTCTAGTGCGCCTGACCCACTTTTGTCACTGTCAAATGCCTTGCTTCCCACACTACCGGAAGGACAAGGCTACTCGAGAGGCAAGCGGCTTCCGACGCGTGAACGAGCGCGAGTTGAATGTATTGGTTTTGACCAATACCAACAGACTACCCCAAATCATGATCATCAAAGTAAAAAATGGTTTGTGCTAAACAACTAGCTAAATGTCTGGAGCCATTGCTGGCACAGTACAGAGGCGATCGCAGTTGTTATGGACGCATGTCTGGCATACCGGAGCAATTCGTGGACCCAGCAGGACCCAAAATCATGTCGATGAGGATTGGAGTGCATTTCATTCGCTATGTTAAAGAGATCAATTAACATTCAAACACAAAGCAACGCATCCTTCACGGCCGAATGACCTCGCCCCGGGCGATGCAGCATGCGTTTTCAGCTGTTATGGAAATAACTGAAAGAAAGCATGGTATTTCTTAATTATTATCCACGCTGTATAGTCCTAGAAACGGTTATTTTTACCTTAATATTACCTTAGTATCTGACCGTGTAGACATTGCACACTGGTGATTCTACTGCCAGACAGGTAGAAAGTTCAACGGTCCTCGTTTGGCAGGAGTGCCAGTAATCAGGCGGGATGATTACTCGTTCGGCAG